TGGCTGATGTGTTTGTACTGCTAACCTTTCGAAGGTCTAACCCTCCTTTCTTCCCTCCAGTTTCTTGAAATACTCACATTATACCCTCCTCCCCTGAACATTTCCTTTTCTATTAAGCTACTTTGAAGTAGGTTTCTGTTACTTGCACCCAAGGGACCACCACTCATATGTAAAGATTCAAGATAATACATGTCAAGCGTCTTTCTTACAACCTGGTACTTAATAGGTACTAAGCAAATATTGACTGATGATAACAGTTTAAGTTGTAATTCTGAGCCATGGTGATGCAGTGGTTAAATGCTCGGCTGCACTGGAAGCCACCAGCCACTCTGCAGGAGAACGATGTGGTAGTTGGATTTTGTATGATTTACGGCCTGGAAACTCTATGGGGTAGCTCTGCTCTTTCCTACAGGGTCTCAATGAGTTAGAATCCACTAGATGACAATGATTATTTGTTGATTTATTTACTGGGTGCTCTGTGGCTTTTGATGGTGGGAAGACGGAGCAGGAAACTCTTTTAGCAGATTTGCCAGGAAGGACTAATCTGAGTGGGTGGGCAGAGAGAACATGGAGGAAATACTGTTTTCTGAATTTTGAATAGAAAATTCTTAATTAACTTGTTTTTCTGTTGTTCTTCAATCAGAGGAACTGAAGCAATAAATTAAAATATAAATGTCATTATTCAAACTTCACAAAAGCAATATATGGAAAATAAATCTAAATAATTAAACTTTCCAATACTATTTTTGTTTTGTAAATTGGTAGCATTAATACTTTTGAAGTTATTTAGTCCTAAAACTATTCTAAGCCTTTGGGACACCCTGTATAGTGGAGAATGAACCCCGGCAGCACCACGGGTAAGTGCTTGACTACTAACCAAAAGGTATGCAATTTGAACCCACCCGGAGGCTCTGAGAGAGAAAAGACGGCATCTGATTCTGTAAAGATTCCAAAAACCCTGAACTCCTTGCTGTCCAGCTGACTCCAATTCATAGCAACTCTACAGGACAGAGTAGAACTGCCCAATGGGAGCTCCAAGGCTGTAATCTCTGTAGCAGCCAGTACATCATTCTTGCACACAGCAATTGGTGAGTTCAAACTGCCAACATTTCAGTTAGCAGCCAAGCACTTAACCACTGCACCACCAGCCTAGGAAACTCTATGGGCAGCTCCATTCTGCCACTTGGGGTTGGGGTTGGAATCAACTCACTGCACCCAACAACAACATACCATGAAGGAGAATTAGACTCGGTGAAAGGGGGAAGCATGGAGTCATTATCTTTTGTGCAGCTTTAAGGCTGTTGAGTTTGTTTCATTCTTCAGACTTGCTGGATTTTAAGAATTTAAGAGGCTTTTAAAAAAATTAAAACCTTAAATAAGCTTGGAAGATTCCACTTCAGGGAGGGAGGCCCTAACCCTGGTTGAAATTTGTGTCCTTTGACCTCATTTAGTATGCACAAATGTTTTTCCTGCTCACGCAGAAGTTTTAGTTTAGATGTTAAGTGCTGCCCAGTTGGTTCCATCATACAGTGACCCTGTGTATACCGGAGTGAAACACTACCTGATCCTCTACTATACTCATGAATGTGGCTATATTTGAGCCCATTGTTGCAGCCCTTGCGTCAATCTATCTCACTGAGGGTCTTCCTCTTCTTTGCTGATCCTACTTTACCTCTGGTGGCATAGTGCCTAAGGCACTTGACTGCTAACTAGAAGCCTGGCGGTTCAAACCCACCAGCCACTCCTCGGAAAGAAGGTTGGGCAATCTACTTCCGTAGTGATACTGCCTTGGAAACCCAAGGAGGGGTTGCTATGAGTCGGGCCGACTCAAT